CCGCGCCCCGCCACGCCCCGCCGCGCCCCGCCGCGCCCCGCCACGCCCCGCCACGCCACGACCATGCGGCCCTCCACGCGGGGCGTGCGTGCAGCGGCCGCAAGCGGCGCGCCGCCCGCAGCAGCAGCAGCCTGTTTGCTGCCCCATAGCCAATATGTTTTCATGTTCTCCCGACGACCAGACCAACCCCCTCGCGGTGGTGAGGCGAGCCGAGCCGCGCGCGGAACTTTTCCGTCCACCCGGCGGGCGAGAGGCGAGCCCTCTGCTATGGACGGGCACGCCCTGTGCGGCACGCGCCGCGGGGTTACGCCCCTGCCTCCCCCGCCACGCCCTGACCCGTCCCACCGATGTGCTACAGTATCGCCCGCCGTCCGCTCTCTAGCGCCGTGTTTGAGCAACGACTGAGGGCGCGCGACGTAAACAAACGACGCAAAAACTGCAACCTTTGCTTGGCTACTTGGAAAAGTTCCGGGTTCTATCTCTGCACCAGGGCAGGCTGCTGCTGCTGCTGCAGTAGGACTCTACCCTCTGGCTGCGCGCGGCCGCGGCGCGTCGCCGGTGTCGCAAAGGCCTTCGTAAGCGCGCACACCTGCGCCGCGCTCGCGCTCGCGCCGAGCTCACACGCTCAGCCCGGCGCAGCCCCTACAGCCTGAACTTGAGCGGCCGGCCGGCGGCCGCGTGTCTCGTTATTGTTATTATTGATGCTGGGTATCGATTGCCGGTGACGCCAGAGCAGGCCTTCCCTCTGCTGCCGCGAGCGGGGGCGGGCGTGCGTGCAGCCCCCTTCTCTCCCTCTCTCTCCCTCTCGTCCCCGGGCGAGCCCCGCGTGCGACGGCCTCTCTCGCACTGCCGCCGCGGCTGCACAATACGGCTCCGCTAAAAACGCGATAACGCGAGGTGGCTGGTTGGCGTGGCGCTGCGCGGCGCCCCCAGCCTCCCGGCCCGGCCCAGCCCGGCCCTCTGTCTGATAAGGGGTGTAAGGTTTTGGCGGGCGGACTGTGCCGGGCCCGGGGCGGCGATCACGCGGCGACGGCGTGCCTCCGGGCCCCGGCC